TATATATATATATACAGTATATACAGTATATACAGTATATACATATTTTAGCAGAAGCTACTCTTCATAACTGTGACAAATTCTAGAAGTTGTTAGTTAGTGGTTTGTTGAATAGCTTGTCCCATCACTAACCCTATTTGATAAAGTCTGCATTACTTACGAACAATTTTGGAAAATTTTCTTAATTTTTTGTCTCCAGCTTTTCTTTTTAATTGTTCCCATTTTTCCAACTTTTGCTTCTATGTATTAAAAAAAGTTGTAAAAACATCTAAACATCTGAGTAGTGCACTACCACTGGAAGTGGTGAGAAAGTGTATTGCAACTCAGTCAATGACATTCCCCTATTGTGGTCCCAAGGGTTAAAAATCTCTGCTCTAAATGATTTGATGATATTCTGCACCATCAAACAAGACACACAAATATTTGCAGACTTTCTTTAAGTTTATATATATACAGGGCAACAACGAAACTGAAACACCTGTCATTTTAGTGTGGGAGGTTTCATGGCTAAATTGGATCGGCCTAGTGGTCAATCTTCATTAATTGCACATTGCACCAGTAAGAGCAGAGTGTGAAGGTTCAATTAGCAGGATAAGAGCACAGTTTTGCTCAAAATATTGCAATGCATACAACATTATGGATGAGATACCAGAGTTCAAAAGAGGACAAATTGTTGGTGCACGTCTTGCTGGTGCATCTGTGACCAAGACAGCAAGTCTTTGTGAYRBWTCAAGAGCCACAGTATCCAGGGTAATGTCAGCATACCACCAAGAAGGACCAACCACATCCCACAGGATTAACTGTGGACGCAAGAGGAAGCTGTCTGAAAGGGATGTTTGGGTGCTAACCTGGATTGTACTGTATCCAAAAACATAAAACCACGACTGCCCAAATCATGGCAGAATTAAATGTGCACCTCAACTCTCCTGTTTCCACCAGAACTGTCCGTCAGGAGCTCCACAGGGTCAATATACACGGCCGGGCTGCTATAGCCAAAACTTTGGTCACTCGTGCCAATGCCAAACGTTGGTTTCAATGGTGCAAGGAGTGCAAATCTTGGCCTGTGGACAATCTGAAACATGTGTTGTTCTTTGATGAGTCCAGCTTTACTGTTTTCCCCACATCTGGGAGAGTTACGGTGTGGAGAAGCCCCAAAGAAGCATAACACCCAGACTGTTTTATGCCCAGAGTGAAGCATGGGGGCGGATCAGTGATGGTTTGGGCATTCCCTTGGCCCAATACTTATGCAAGATGGGCGCGTCACTGCCAAGGACTACCAAACCATTCTGGAGGACCATGTGCATCCAATGGTTCAAACTTTGTATCCTGTGCCATGTATCAGGATGACAATACACCAATACACACAGCAAGACTGGTGAAAGATTGGTTTGATGAACATCAAAGTGAAGTTGAACATCTCCCAAGGCCTGCAGTCACCAGATCTAAATATTATTCAGCCACTTTGGGGTGTTTTGGAGGAGCGAGTCAGGAAACATTTTCCTCCATCAGTATCATAGTGACCTGGCCACTGTCCTGCAAGAAGAATGGTTTAAAATCCCTCTGACCACTGTGCAGGACTTGTATCATTCCCAAGATGAATTGAAGCTGCATTGGCTGCAAAAGGAGGCCCTACACCATACTAATAAATTATTGTGATCTAAAACCAGGTGTTTCAGTTTCATTGTCCAACTCGTCCTGATGCATCTCAGTAATCCAGGTAAAAAATCAAAGGAAAAAAAATTGTATAGGTCCTCTGGACGGGTTCTTCTTTAATGAAACGTTTCGTCTCTCTTCCAAGAGACTTCTTCAGTCTGAGAGTTTCAGGCAAAATTCAGGCTTTTGAGTCCTGCCTCCAGGTGACTGATACTCACATCACATGGCCATCGTTCACAGGTGACTCATACTCACATCACCTGGCTATCGCTAACCAGTGGTTATTCCGTATGTTGCGGGTGTTTCGGAGAAACTGAGACGTTTATTTTCTAAACATGATGTCCCAGTAGCTTTCAAACCCCAAAACACATTACGGCAAAGGCTGGTTCACCCCAAAGATCCGGTGCCCCGGCACAAACAGAGCAATGTTGTATATGCTGTTAAGTGCCAGGAGGACTGCAACCAGTTATACATCGGGGAAACAAAGCAGCCACTGTTCAAAAGAATGTCCCAACACAGACGAGCTACATCTAATGGCCAGAACTCTGCAGTTTTCACTCATTTACAGGCCAGCGGTCACTCTTTCAGAGATGAGGATGTTCTCATTCTTGATAGGGAGGAACGTTGGTTTGAGAGAGGAGTAAAAGAAGCCATTTTTGTAAAGAAAGACCGTCCGTCATTAAACAGAGGTGGGGGCCTCCGTTTTCAGTTGTCCCCCTGCTACAGCGCTGGCATTGGCAGTATCACTCCACCCCCTGTTAACAAAAGGTATTAATTAGGGTGAACGATAGCCATGTGATGTGAGTATCAGTCACCTTTGAGTGATAGCCAGGTGATGTGAGTATGAGTCACCTGTGAACGATGGCCATGTGATGTGAGTATCAGTCACCTGGAGGCAGGACTTAAAAGCCTGAATTTTGCCTGAAACTCTCAGACTGAAGAAGTCTCTTGGAAGAGAGACGAAACGTTTCATTAAAGAAGAACCCGTCCAGAGGACCTATACAATTTTTTTTCCTTTGATTGTCCAACTCCTGTATACAGTATAAGTCCACGTCTCACAGTTCTGACTGGGGGCAATGCACAACATGGCTGTAACCCGGGGATAGCAGTGGGAGAGCACACGAAAGTTGCGCAATTTTTTGTCACTCAGCAGGGGGAACAAGACGTGCGACACGAAGTATAAACCAAGATTAAGCTGAGCTCACCTGTTACCTGCCGATACTGTGTGTGATGTCATCAGATCTGTTGTTGCCAGGCTACAAACACGACAGCTCGTGCATTCATGGTAATCTCTGCAGACCTGCGTCACACCTCCCTGTCACGCATCCAACGTTCACAGCTTCATTCTTCATTAATAACTGAAACTGAAACAATATCATTTCTGTCTGGAGATTATTAAACAGTTATTCTGATCATTTAGCTGTTTGAGAAAACATCCTTCTCCTTTTACTGTTTCAGCACGTTAGTATCAATGTTTTCTTCAAAAAAGAAAGTTGCAAAATGTGAAAAAAGAAAGATGAGGCAAAACATGAAGTAGTATGTGTGTATGGTGTCTACAAAACTGAAGTCTAGGCCTATATAAAAATCCTTGTSTAATTTAGCATTTTTCTTACAATTTCATTTTTTCTAATTTAGTAAATCTTGCCTTCTTAGACTAATGGCTTTAATTTTGATACAGAAAAAAAAACTTGTTTTATGTTTTTATTAAGTAAAATAGGTTTTTACTTTTAATGATTATGAATGTAGAGTGTAATGAGTGAATTTTCAGTGTAGCTAACAATAAAAAAATATTATCTAAATACTACTAACAAATGCAAGTAAAGCTGTTTCTGGGGATGTATGACCTCCCTGCTGCTTACCCCAGGAGCCTTTAGGTTTTCCAGTTTAATTCAGGAACTTCCCGGACCTCATAGCTCCAAATTTTCATCTGCAGCTAACAAGGAACGGCACAGTGGACTGCGCTCAGGCAGACCTACTCACTTTGGACGATGTATCAGACGAGGACCTGGACGTGGATGCCGTGGAGGTGGATGACTGTTTCTTCCTGCAGCCGCTGCCCACGAAGCGGCGCCGGGCCTTGCTGCGAGCCTCTGGCATCACTCGGATAGACGCACGTGAGAAAACCGAGCTCAGAGCCATCCGCCTCTCCCGGGAGGAATGTGGCTGCGACTGTCGTTTGTACTGCGACCCTCGCCACTGTGGCTGCAGCCAGGCTGGAATTAAGTGCCAGGTAGGACTTGTTCACTGAGCGCCCACTGTTTTTAGAAGATAGCTAATTGTTTTTGTGATTTTTACATAATGTCACGTAGACATGAGTTATTCATACAATAGTCATTAAAACCTTTTTAGACGTAGGAGTGAAGCAGGAAGTGCTCTTTGTGATTCTTGAATATAACAGATCATATTCACACTGGTGCAGGTAAACATTCTTGATGAGAAAGGACTATTCTAATTTTAGTATTATTTAAAAAAAATTTAAACGTTAGCTCAGCTTTGTAATTAGAACACATACGAATTAAACTAGATACTGAATAGTGGCAGCATATATGACTCCCACACATACGCAAAGCTCCAATGCACCAGAACTCAGATTTATTGTTTTGGGTKGGGGGTCTGGAGTGGGGTGGGGGTGCTCATTGGTGAGCCTGATCCCTTAATCAGTGTTTAAAAAAATCTGAAGCTCCTACGTTGAATAGTTTTTGAGCTGTAAGCATTTTTGTATGCCCAGACACCCTCAGTTCAGGTRGAGCCCCCGCCTCAAATATGGGGTCTATATTAAAACTGTTGGCTGGTGCAGTGTAGGTCGGACTCTTCTACAGTCCTGACGAATTTCATGTTGATCGGTGCAGCTTCACATGCAGGGGTCATAATTAAAGGTAATCCCATCTTTAATTTATTAAAAGATGAGAAGAGATCATTAACTGTAGGGCTGAAACGATTAATCGATGACTAATCGTTTATTAAAATAATCGATGACTAATTTAATAATCAATTAATCGAAAAAATAATCAACAGATTAATCGATTATTAAAATAATCATTAGTTGCAGCGCTAAACTGTACTAAAAATATTTCTGCAATAGTTGAATTTCACCATGGTCACACTCAGCTTGTCTGAATGCTGCTGGTGTTTGAAACTATGGTTTTATGAGTTTGGTTGGAAGAACTCGACTGATCCGCACAGAGCCCTGACCTCACCCCCACTGAGCACCTTTGGGTGGAAGTAGAACAGTGATTCTGTGCCAGACCTTCTTTCCATCAGTGACCTCATAAATGCTTTACATAATGAACGGGCACAAATTCCTGCAGAAGTCTTTTTGTTACAGCTGTTAGAGCTGCAAACAGGTGACCCACTTCATATAGTCCATGTGGGCGTAAAGGTCAGGTGTAAATGCAAAGTTAAATTGTCCTAATTCAAGTTTCAGTTCATCTCATTTTTAAAATAAGTTGTTTAATTTTTGCAAAATATAAATATAGAAAACCAATCTGTAGTAGTGATTTTAAATCAGGACATAAATTTACACTCATTGGGCCTCATGCAAGAACCGTTCGTACGCACAGATTTGTTCTTAAGTTGTGCGTACGAAGTGATTTAGGAGAATTTGTGGCATTCACCAATGTTTTTGTATTCTAAGATTTTTTTCAGAAATGAACAAAATTCACGAGTGGTCTAGACCTGTCGTATATTTTAAGAACAGACAGTCTGCTGTTATCTAGACAGATTTTTCTCACTAATAACTTCATATTTCATTAGTTTGAAGATATTTCAAGTTGAAAAT